ATCGCTTATAGAAGCGACCTTGCGAAAGGTTCCCTTAGCCTAGAGGCTGTGATATCTGGTCTTGACATGAAGCTGCGCACGCCGTCACCACCTCCTGTTGAAGACGCGCCCTGGCAGTCGCAGACCCCTAGTAATACCCTGGAATTTGGGTCGCAATCAACGCTCGTGAAGGCAAGGATTCAGAGGCATGTAGATAGCTCCCCAACTTCGATGGTTGAGGCCTTTGAAAAGAAGGCCAAAGGCGCAGCGGTGGTGGCGCATAAGCTTGTGTTGGCGCAAAAGGAGAACGCTGAACTTCGAGCAGCAAATAAGGCCGCCATGCAACGTAGATCGCACAAGAGGAAGCGGGTTCAGAAAGAGGGTACCCTTACAGTTGAGAAGGGCCTACGCTTAACGACTCTAAAAGAGTTTACAGCGCGTAGTGATGGAATAAAGGCATTGAAGAGGGTGCGCGCTGAATTAGGCGAACCAACGCAACGTCGCTGTGGACGCTGCGACGAGGCAGGGCACAACGGGCGAACATGCAAGCAAGAAGTAGAGTGTATTTCTAAGTAGATTGGCTTACTACAATTATCTATATTTGTCGTTGGTAGTGCTGTATTGTTGTGCGTAGTTCAGGTTTTCGTGGGGTCTTGGCGTCGTGATTGACTCGTCTAGGTGATCGACTGGCCCGTGTGGTACGTTGTAAGATGCCTTAGTGAAATTTGATAGTAACTGTGGCCCTTGCTGGATCGTTTGCATGGATCATTCTAAGTATGGATCCTCCAATACAATGTATGCATGCAAAAGTGAGTCCGTAGCCTTGGTAGTGTTGAGTGCCTGATTGGTAGCTGAAGTCCACGTGACTACCACCAGTGTTCGCGAGAATGTCTTCCCAGGAGTCATCTAACGCCTTTTCAACTGTGTATTGGCCCTGGTAAGAATCCTTGTATGGGATGGGATCGTTGATCGGTAGTTGGAATCTGTGAACGCACTGAGGGAATCGGGCGTGGGCATTGAACGCATTGATGACGTCGATGGTTTCACACGTTTGGTGTTCGCCGCGGCAAACTCTCCGCCTTTGAACCCTGCGTTCACTTTGCGTAGTCGGAAAGTTAAGATCGTAGCAATCCCACCTTCTGTCTTTTCCCGAGCAAAATCCACTGTTGAAGCGAAAGTTTGCATTGTATTGCTGGCAAATCTCGTCCAATTCAGTGAGGGTGTAGCGTTTAAGAATGTTTTTCTGATGCCATTGTTGATGTTGTAGGTGGAGTTCCGAAAATTGTTGCTGGGTAAGGTTGATAAAGACCATTTCCTGGGAGAAATCGAGTTCGCCTGATAGAGGAACGAAGTCGAAGGCCAATGAACTGACAATCATTGGCGCAAGGTAAAAAAGAAAATTGGCTAGCCGCATGATGAGATCAGAGCCTTGGGGTAATGATGAAGTGGAGATAGAAGGTGTTAGGTGAGAGCGTAAAGATGCGTAGAGGGAAATCTTTATAGTAGAGTCTTATCGTGAGAAGCTTCCTTCTAATAAAAGGAGTAGTATTTATTGTTAAGTTCTCTCGGTCTAATTTACCCTTAGGTACGTTAGGTCTTACATGTACAAGCAAGGCAATCGGCAGCTTGATACGAGAACGTGCCGTGTGCAGGGCCGTGCCTAGGGTCGCGAAGCATGCAGCACTACGTGCACGCTTAGATACGAATGTGCAAGCAAGGCAATGGCAAACGTTATTCGTCCGGGTCGCAATAAGAAAAGTGTCCTGGTTATAAGCCGTACCTTACCTAAATTAGTTAACATCCTGTAGCTAGTTAATTAGTACTGCAAGGGATACTACTTGATAGCCTATAACTAGTATTAATAGTATTAGTGTATAGTATTAGTAGATATTAGGTTATCTATACCTAGTTATATAGTGTTATAAAGTTTTTACCTATAGTAAGTAGGTAATAGCTATAACCTAATATCCTATATTAACTAAAATCTAGTAAAACACACCTAATTATTATCCTTTTTATTTTATAGAAATATTACTTACTTAATCTATATTACTAACTAACTTAGATAACTCTTAGGTATTCTTTAAGGCTTTATATAAGGTTATTATAGAGCCCTATACTAGTGGTATTAGTAATATACTAAGTTATAGCAAGTTAATTCTTTTCCTTTACTATAGTAATACTACTAATACTATACACTAATACTATTAATACTAGTCACGGGCCATCTAGTAGGGTAAGTGTTATTCGTCTAGGTTGCAATAAGAAAAGTGTCCTAGTTATAAGTGTAATAATAAGGCAGAATTGCTTACCTATTATTCTATGCTAAGTTAGCCCTAATAAAAGCCTAACTTATATATATATATAGAGAGCAGCTTACCTATATTAGAATAGGTATATTCTTCTTATCCTTTTATATAAGACCTATAGGTGTAGGAATCTTATCCTTTTCTATATAGATGCGCACTCCTATATACCTTTAAGTTATATAGGATACTATTTAGATACCTACCTACTTATATTATTATAATATAAGAAGAATATTATCCTAGCTAGTAATAGTATTTAAGAATATTATATTTATTAATATTTTATACTACTAATTTAGTTCTTGTAACAACTTAGGTAGGTAGGGCATCCAAAAGGTATCCTATACGACTCAAAGGCATATGGGAGTGCGCGTCTGTACGGAAAAGGATGAGATTCCTACACCTATAGGTCTTGTACGAAAGGACAAGAAGAACATACCTATCCTAACTATAGGCGAGCTGTTCTCTATATATATTAGTAAGTCAGGCCTTTATTAGACTAGACTTGGTATAGAACAATAGGCAGGCAATTCTACCTTATTATTACACTACCCCCTCCTATAGAGAAAGGATAGTCCCTATCCTTAGGATTAGGTTCAGATCCCTCTTTAAAGAAGAGCTTTTGCAAAATAAATCCACCTTTACCTCTGCCTTTACCTTTACTTCTTCTTCCTAGGGCACAGACCTCTATCCCTAGCCTGCCTATAACTAGCCCTCTACCTACTAACTTTCTTACTCCTATATCCCTAATTTTTTAATTATTTAACCTAATCTATCTAAAATCTAGTAAGTATTTAATCTATGTAATTAAACAGTTGCTAATCTAAATTAGAACCTTTAGCTATGCTAGTACTAGTACCACTAGGAGTCCTCCTAGTCGCTTATCGCGCTCTCTATATAAGAGCAGTTAGGGCTCTAGCTAGGGGCAGGTTTAACAATTTTAATTTTAAGTTAAAGAATTCTAAGAAGTGCTAGTACTATATCTCCTAGAATAAGTATTGTAATCTAGTAAGTGTCTAAGTCTAATAGGGTTCCTTTACTAATCCTAGTAGATTCCTTCTTTTGTTAGCTAAGAGTACTCTGCCCTTAGGGGTGCTCTAGAAGAATACTACAGCCTAATTAGAAACCCTGCTAAAGGGGATAAGGATAAGAAAGCTGTGGTTGCCTATTAGAAGGATGTTAAGCAGTTTAAGGCCGCTATTTAAGAAACTGCCTAAAACCTTGCTAAGTGCGTTACTATTACTAATACTTAGACTAAGGGCATAGAAGCTGCTAAAATCCTTATAGCCACCTATTATACTACTATATCTAATTTACGTTAGCTTTAGAACAGTATTTATAAGATAGTCTTAGTAGTTAGGGGCTTAATAAAGGCTATTAACAAGCTTAAGGAGGAATTAGCACTAAATTAGGAGGCAACTTTCCTAGTCTAGGCTAAGATAAAGGCGTTCTACAAGAAGGAGTCTAAATCAGTCCTAGCTCCTGTCCCTGCTCCCGCACCTGCTCTAATTCCTGCTACACTAGTTGTCTAGAAGCTAGCAAAGAAGGATAGTCTAGGCGCAATCTTAGCTAATACAGAGTCTAAACTAGGTTCTAATAGAGAGATAGATATAGAATAAAGAGGTTTCCTAGGGGTAGTATCCTAGGAACCTTTAAGGTTCTAAATAGGATATAATAATAAATAGCAACAAGAATAATAGTAATAGATAGTAGTTAATAGGTAATACATAGCTAAATAGGATGTGAATTAGTTCTAATATTAGGCATAATTATTGTGAAGTAATATTAGGTTCTCTTTCCCTTTTTCCTAGGCTTAAATCTATTTTAGTAAGCTGCGTGGGGGACCTAGCTAATTTAGATACTATTAGTAGAATGCCTGTAATTTATAGGGAGCCCCTATAAAGTTAGAGGTAGGATACTAAATAGGATCAGGATCGTGTCTAACCCACTTAACCTTATATTTCAGCTTAGATTAATATAATTTGCTAGCTAGGATTTCTTCTACCTCCTATTCCTCTACACCTTATATAGGAGTACTAGGGGGTTTTAGAGCCTCTTATCTAGGTAATAGGTCTTAGGGATCTTTGCATAGTACATTAGGAGAGAAAACGTTATAGATCTTAGAACTAGGTAGCAATTAGAGGCGATACGCGTTTCCCACTTATTCTAATACCTTAAAGGGACCTTCCTATTATTTAGATAGTTTTTAGCTAGGTTATAAAATAGTAAGATTAGCGGTGGATAGATAAACATAGTCACTAACCTTCTAGTTAACTAGATAGTAATAGTAATTAGTAGCAGAGCGCATTTAGTCTTAAGCTCTTTCTATATTTTCTTTAGCAATCTTCTAGGCGTCGTGTATCCAAGTAGCAAGGGATAAGGCGTCCTTGTGGTTTAGTTTCTCTAGTATAGTGGATAGGGTCTTTTCTAGTTTCTAATTCTAACTTTACTTTAGTAAGGAACTAAAGAGGAGCTAATATAGAGCTATGCTAATAGATAAATGTAGAAGAGTACTTTAGGCACGGTCTATTATAGGTAGTAGGTTGCTCTAGTTATCTTAGTAATAGGATATAAAAGGCCTTAGTCTCTAATTAATATACTTATTTATAATCTTAGTTTGTCTATTAGTTTATTTATAGTAGGTAGTAGAGAGCTTAACTTTAGTGCCTATAATCTAATAGAACTTAGACTAGAAACTAGATATAAACTAAGGGCCTTAATTAGAAACAATAGTATCTAGAGTATATCTAAATTAGTACACCTACTAAACAAATAAGGTAGCTATACCTTAGGCGTCTATAGTTTTGTGGCAAGGGATAGTAATAGCTTGCTTTAATAGGCGATTAATAATAACTATAATCTAATTATAACCCTGTTAATCCTAGGGAAAATCCTTAAAATTAATGCACAGGTGCTGCATTAGTAGACTAGGGATAGGAAGGGGGTGGAGCATGCCTAGGAGTTAGTGCTGTCTTAGGTGCCCTCTCCTGCATAGGATACAGTTTTAAACATAGCATTTATAGGTAGTCTCTATACCTTTCTAGTAGTAATGTTAGGCTAGAATCTAATAGGTTTTGGTGGCTAATAGGTAGGCTGTAGACACTTAATTATAGGCCTTACGAATTAGTCTAGTATATAGGACTAATCTAGCAGGCACGCAAAGTTAATCCTGGTAGAGAAGGAGTCTATTTTCTATCTAATAGTGCTTAGGTAACTCTAATCTTTCTATTAGGAATAAGGACCTATTTTCTTAGAGAAGAGCTTTAATAAGTTCTAGGGATCTAAGAGTTATAGGGTTCTAAACTACTATAATTAAAGCAAGGATTAGTAAGGAACGCTTAGCTAGGTAGTCTTGCGCTAAATCAGAGTTAATTTAGGGGTGTAACCTATCTAGGGCAATTATTACTTGTAAGCGATTATCCCTTTAAGTAGTCTTTAGGTTAATTATATCCTATTCCCTTCTGCTTAGGATATCTGCTTAGGCGTTGTGAGATCTAGGAGTATACTTAATTTAGAAGTTAAAGGGACTTATAACCTCTAGCTATCTAGCTTGCCTAGTACTAAGGACTTTAGTAGACATAAAGTACTCTAGTGCTCTATAGTCTGTGTATACTCTAATAAGGTGCTAAGTACTTATTAGGTTAGCACGCCATTTCTTAAAGGCGCGGATTATTGCAAACAATTCTTTATTATAGATTTCCTAATTAAGTTTAGAACTAGTAAGGGTCTAACTAAAGAAGGATATAGGGTACTATTTCCTATTAGGATGCTCCTGTAAGAGGACAGCTGCAATAACTCTATTAGAGGCGTCTATCTCTAGTTTTGGAGGGTACTCGGGATAGAAGTAAGCTAAGCTTAGGATTGCTAGCAGGGCATTCCTAAGCTAGTTAAAGGCTTGTTAGCATTCCAAAGTCCATACAAATAGGGTAGCAGGACTCTAGAGGGCGGTTAAGGGCTTAGCTATCTTAAAGAAGTTTTCTACAAATTGCTAGTAGAATCTAGTAAATCCTAGGAAGGACTTTACTCTAGTTATTGTCTTAGGAGTGGACTAGTTTCAGAGTACTTTAACTTTGTTAGGGTCCACCTCTAAGCCTTTGTTAGTTAG